CAATAGTGCGAAGAATTTATCGAAGATCTGGAAGAACGCAGCCGTGTCAAGCGTCCGCGACTGTCGATTGGACATAAACAATCTCTGGTGGCGAGAATAGCGCGACTCGAGAGTGCAAAAATGCGCTTGCAGAGACGGTATGTTGGTGAATCCATACCTAGTGGCGGCGGATTTAGTGGTGGCGGCAATAACGTGCAATGACTCGTTTGGCGCGAAATCGATACGGCGTTCGATGCCGTATACTTACCGGTGCGGTAATTAACGCAGACTATATCGAACCGCGTCAATTTTTGGAAAATGCCGCAGACATTGTAGTCGAGAACGTGGAGAATATGCTACAAAGACACTAGCCTGGGAGGGAAATATAAACATACAATTTATTAGAGAAAAATCAGAGTTTTTAAACTCATATTTAACAAAATACACGACAAAGTCGGAAAAATGCAATACAGACTTTGAAGTGATAGATTCGAATAAGTCCTTGGCATCGAAACTGTGGAATTTTGCAATGCGTTCATTAAATAACAGAGAATGCGGTGCTTTAGAAGCTGCGGATACACTATTAGGGAATCCCTTGTACGGTACGGATAATGATACCATGGTCAAATGGATCGATGTTAATGAGGTGAGAAATAGAAAAGTTAAAACATTTAATGAAATTTAAGCTTTTGATGAAAATTCTACGAATATTTACTGTTCGTCACTCATCGATGATTACTATCCAAATAGACCTCAGGAATTAGAATCATTGAATTTGTACGATTTTGCCAGATTCTGGGAAATTACGAAACAGATGTCAAATAATGACGAAGTCAAGTGTTACAAACTGGCATCGGGTTTATTTTTAAAAAAACGAAAAAAGGTTATTTAATTAACTATTATCGATTTAATATAAAAACTGAGCCCGAAAAATACTTTTACTCGCTGCTTCTTCTGTTCAAACCATGGAGAGATTTGAGTGAACTCAAAGGTACATTCGAGACTTACACGGATGCCTTTAAGAATTCAGAGTCTGTTTTAACGAAGGCGATGAAATATCACGAAAGGCTCGAAGAAATACAGAAAGCTTTTGAGAACGTTGCTGAATTAATCGAGAAGCGCGAAAATGATCTGAAAACAGCAGACAGAGACAAATCCGATGACGATGAACTGGATTGTAATCCGATAGAAGCTGACGACGCGATAAAATATCTGGAAGATTTTGGTAAGATTGACGACCCGATTGATTTATCGCAAATGATGTTGCAATTGAACAAAGACCAGAAAAGAGTCTTTGATGGAGTATGCCAAGTTTTACAAGATAAGAATCAGATTCTGCGACTGTACGTAAGTGGCAAGGGTGGTACAGGGAAAAGTTTTCTAATTGAAACGATTAAACATTGGATCAGAATAAATTTGGAAAAAACGACTGCCATATCTGCTCCCACGGGTATCGCAGCATTCAATATCGATGGCTTGACAATCCATAGAATGTTTCAACTACCGGTTAGTCATGAATCTACACCAAAATATACGCAATTGTCAGACATGGTCTTGAAAACTTTGAGAGACAAATTAAAGAATGTCGAATTATTTATAATCGAAGGAATTACATGTAACAATGCAATGATGGATTTAAGAACGACTGTATTCAGTGATGATCAAGCCTATGTAGGTTTGTCACGAGTAAGTAAATTGGAAGGCCTACATTTGATAAATTTCAATCCAGCATCAGTTAAAGCAAACTCGAGAGCCATTGTAGAATATAATCGACTGAGATCTATATTCAAATCTAAACTGCCACAAATCAATCCGTCCGAGAAAAAGGTTGTGAAAATGTACGATCGTCGATGGGATATCCCTAATATCATTGATGATATGCAGAATTATGATTGTGAGGAACCAGAAAGTATAGTTACGTGGAAAATATATGGCCTTTGCAATAACAATGCTGTTTCGTGTTACGCTAATGTAATATTACAATGTGCGTTTCATTGCGTACGTATTAGGCAACAAATACTGAAAAATAAAGCATCGAATGCATTGATTGATGCTATCTGCGCGTATGGTGAACGTAAATATTGCAACATTCAAGCGGTTAGAAGATCTGTCGGAAAACGCTTCGAAGAACGAACACAACAAGATGTTTCGGAATTTTTTACGGCTCTAATGTCGACGTATTCCGACATCAATAATGTATTAAAACTCGAATTAAAGCACGTAACATGTTGCTCAAATGTCAAATGTAATTACAATGTAACTAAGCTGGAAAGCAGTAGTTTGTTAATATTACCTATACATTCGACATTAAAAAGGAAAAAAGGTGTCACTCTACAAAGTTTGATTAATGTAGAATTTTCTAAATGGGAAACGATAAACGGCAATTGTAACGAATGTAAGGGCACCGTGTTGAAAAAGAAAACCGTAATCGAATCAACTTTATCCGTCGTAGTAATACAGCTCAATTTATATACTTTTGTAAACGGTGCTTCTAAAAAAATTATCAACAATCGGATTACCGCCGTGCCGACGAGTAATATCACGATTAATAAAAAAAGTACAAGCTAATAAACGCTATATTTCACGAAGGTACAGAAATGAATCGTGGTCACTACACGTGTATGTTGAGAGCTGACACAAAATCGGAATGGTATTACTCTAATGATATGGAAGTGTTCAAGAAAAAATGGCCCAAAGGAGCACAAGGGGCATACATATTGTTCTTAGAACAGATTAAATAATGGCGCTGTATAAAGGCTGCCGTAAACGCTACATTAAAACATCAACTGTTCTAGCGCTGTATAAAAGTTGCCGTAAGCGCCAAAATAAAATATCGGCTGCTCTGGTGCTTTATAAAAGCTGCTGTAAGCGCTGCATTAAAACGAGTGCAATAAGTTTCTAATTTGACCTAGGCTTCATGACATTTCAAAAAGTATCATCAAGAAAAAAATTATCAGACAGAAATATGTATGTCGTGTTAAAATCGGAGAGACGAAGAAAAATATATGGTTGCGTTCTCACGAGAATGAGCGATGGAGGGGCCCATTCTTTATTTTCAATATTCATACAAGAATATAAATTCATTCTGTTGCAAATGAAATAAATGTGCAATGTATTGTTAAAAGTTATTACAATTATACAAACATTTACATATATGATTTTATAAAATATATATGTATACTATAATATAATTATATATTTTATATATGTACATATATACCATATATTTCAATTATTTTGAACTGTATTGCATAAATTGTTACTTATACAAAGTTATGTGATAAGAATCAAAAATACATATATTTGTGATACTTGAATTACTAGAAAGCTGCTCTATATATCTGTACTTTAAAAAGTAAGTGATATCCTAAAAAAATCATAAAAATGAAAAGGTTAGGCCATGTTCAAAAGAAAGTACTCAAAAATTTAAACGATCTAATAATAAATTATCACGAAAAGTAACTGATATGTTATTCAAGGTGCCAGTTCAAAGTGAACATACGTAAAGTGTATATTATCTAAATTTAGTTATAATATATTACCATAAAAAGTAACTGTGATATTTTATTCAAGGTGCAAGTTTACATTGAATATACATACATATAAGTAAAACTGATTACAATTTGATTCTAGAAAATAAGTGCGATATGTTATTCTTAGTGCACAAAATATAATAGTTGTTTATTGAGATTTGATTTGAAATTTATACTAGCCCGTACAATGAAAAATAATTGCTCGTAATTCCAGAGTACCAATTTGTTAATGACTCAGAAAAATAACATGGCGGCCTGCTCTCAAAAAACTTTTGATGGGTAGAATAAATAATTGAAATAAGAGTTGTGAAAATTGTATAAATTAAAAACCTCCAATCTTTCTTTAGTAAAATTTCGAATTTTCGTATCAACTTCCGATTTGTGTTATACCGTATTTTCAGGGAGTAAGTTATTGATCAGAAAACTTTGCCTTGTTGCTCGAAACGGGTGTATATTAAGTAAAATTTATAAATGTACAGTTCTCAGGTCAACTACAATAAAGCTATACGCTTAAAAAGTTTACTGATTATTTGTCGTAATATACAATAAAAAATTACATATTAATTATTCAAGATACAAGTGAGAAATAAATATCATTAAAATATACAAAAAAAAATTATCAATTTGACTCTGAAAAGTAAGTGACATGGTTCTCAAAGTGCTAGGTTTCATTTGACTTACAATTTTCTTCAGAAACACAGAAGAAAAAGGTATTTGTATATATTGTTTTGTATATTCACTTCGTTGTGTGTGTAGAGCTTTTAAAAATACGTTGAATCCTTATTCTAATCTAATCTTCTTCTAATGTAATACTTTTCGTATTTCAAATGTTGTAGTAATTATTCTGTAAGAGCTTTGACATTATTTCTAAATGGACATCGAAAAACATCATAGTTTTTTGAGAGCAGGCCGCCATGTTATTTTTCTGAGTCATTAACAAATTGGTACTCTGGAATTACGAGCAATTATTTTTCATTGTACGGGCTAGTATAAATTTCAAATCAAATCTCTATAAACAACTATTATATTTTGTGCACTAAGAATAACATATCGCACTTATTTTCTAGAATCAAATTGTAATCAGTTTTACTTATATGTATGTATATTCAATGTGAACTTGCACCTTGAATAAAATATCACAGTTACTTTTCATGGTAATATATTATTACTAAATTTAGATAATATACACTTTACGTATGTTCACTTTAAACTGGCACCTTGAATAACATATCAGTTACTTTTCGTGATAATTTATTATTAGATCGTTTAAATTTTTGAGTACTTTCTTTTGAACATGGCCTAACCTTTTCATTTTTATGATTTTTTTACGATACACTTAATAGAAAATATTATTTACTATTGATTTCATTTTATGTAGATGTAGTATCTTCTTTATTCGTATCATCATTGTTAAAAATTGCACACGAAACTGCATGTGGTTGAAGTCGATTCTTTAAATCGTTCAAAAACATATAAGATAGAAAATGTTTTAAGCAAACTCTATAATTATTATATAACTTTTTTGGTGCAATATTTTTTTTTATTCCGCATGCTTGTAGCCACAATTGTGCTCTAAAATAAATGTTATTGTAATTTTAGAAACAATTAAATTTTATATATACGTATATAGGAAATTGTCAAACAATTAATACCTTTCTGGATGAGATGGAAAGCGAAAAAAGCTCAAGTGACGACTGGAGCCGGAATTTTCATTGCAATCTTGCATTGCGCACGTGAAACCACCAACAACTACGCGACGTTCCATTATTATAACAATGTTTTTTAAAAATATTTTCAAACCTGAAACTTAACAGAGTCCTTTAATTAACTTGAATTCATTAATAGGATATATTTATTTTGATAAACATAACCACCACTTACTGTGTTTACAACTCACTGTACGCCATATTGTGGATAGTAATCCAACGCATGCGCCGTAGCATTTCTCTGACGCTATTTTTTTTGAGTGACGCTACTGGTTATACATATACTGTGCTTTTATCCAGAATAGAAGAAGTCGTTTCATTATCCCCAACAAACAGTATGCATATAGTCCAATGCAATTTGATTGATCATATCAATTTTCAATTTTTTCAAGACAGATACATTTGTATGATGATCTTCTTGTTCTTTTCTACGAAAGGATTTATTAGTTCTCAATGTAAATTCTAATTTCGGAAAAATAACAGATTTAATCTCCTTTCTGAGTGCATTTACTGCAACTAAAATAACCAGAATGGCTCTTTGTATATGTTATGAAAGTTCTTGCAGGAGCATCACAAACAATACCTGCAATTGATACTTTATATATCTTATTATTATACAAAAAGCCATTTCTGTGAATTTCTGTCATCTCATTTATGAAATCATTTAAATAATTATTCGCATTTTTTGGCTTCGAAAAACCATGATATACACCCACAGGAAAAGGTTCTGTACGAATATCCGTATATAATGATACTAGAATAGGCCAAAACTGGCTACCAGACCTTTTTGTTAATGACATGCCATCACAATTAATTATTAATTTAATAACAGAATTTGAACAGATTTCTTTACAATATCTTTCCATTAAACGTTGTAAATCATTTAAGAGTCCGAAATGAGCATAGAAACCGTTATCTATTTTTTAATTTGTTGCGTAACTTTTCTCTCTGTTTGCATTAACGTTGAAATGTCTTTAGGTAGCGAATTATGACCACAATCGAGAAGTATTTTTAATAATGCATTACCAGCTTTGTGAGATATTTGTTTTTTAATCATCCACGATTGCAATTTACTACTTAAAGTATGTGAAATACTAATTTTATCATAACTAGAATAATTTTTATTTTCTGAGAAACTTGAATTTGAAATAGCATGCTGTTCAACGTTAATCAAAGAATTGTCTCCACAATTCTCTTTTATATTCGGAGAGTTCTTATATTTGGAGAGTTCTTTAATTGATCACGGCCAAGATTTTAAATTGGAATAATCTCTACAAGAGATTTAATTCCATACATCCTCTCTTCCCCCCTAAGGAAATATACGCTGACTTAAAGGCGTTTGTTTACCAACATTATTATATATATAGCAGAGAAAAGTATAGAATCGAAAGGATCTGAATAGCTCAGTTGGAAGAGCAGTCGCCCGGCAAGCGAAAGATCTCGGGTTTGATTTCCGATTCAGCGACTGTTGGATCTATATTTTTCTCTCGCATTTTTTTCCTTAGGGGGGAAGAGGGGATGTATGGAATTAAATCTCTTGTAGAGATTATTCCAATTTAAAATCTTGGCCGTGACCAATTAAAATTTGATGCCTTGTGCACAGGTATTTAATTCTAACGAAGAAATTTTAGTTATGTTGGGATAACGCACTGTCATCCGTGATTTGGCTCTTATTGCCTGTCTTACACTTTAAATTTGTATTTATATCCGCGTGTTTGTTATTCGAAATCAGGAAAAATTAAACTTGTGGAATTTAAAGAGTTTGCTATTACCAACAAAAGTCCGAACAATTGTTGATTACTAAAAGATAATTCGTTTTTAATTGTAAAAAAAATCATTTTTGTACATTAATTCATCACTAGTAAACAACAATCATGTAAATAATTGTAAATAACATGTAAATATATCGCTTTACTTATATATATATATATATATATATATATATATATATATATTGTTCTCGACTCTCCGTTCGGAAAGCTCCGATAAATCGGCTGTTTTTTTTTGGGGAAGACAAGGATGTCGTGGATGGATTGTAGAGAGAAAAGATCACGCATCACCGCACTCACAGCTTCACTTCACGGATTATATTTTATCTAGGCTCAATTATAAATAATTTAATTGACGGTATTCGATCGCTCTCGAATGCTTGTTATTCTCGCAGTTCTCGCAGGAGACTAAACAGCCGGTAAACCCTGCGTAGGAATTCGCGAAGCCTCATCCCCTTGCCCCGAGCTCCTCAATCCACCCGTTGACAAAGGGAATAGGCTCCGCGATATAGAATAAACCGTGTCGCAAAACATCGTCACGGTGACTCCTTATACAAAGATATTTTGATAGCATCTGTTTATGTGACGGCTCGGTCTATCGATCTCGACCGTCATCGGCGCGCGCTAAATCGATTCGCGAACATATATATATATATATATATTTATTTATTTACTTACATATCTCTGTTAAATCTTTGTTTTTCAAAATGTGATTGTTCTGATGCAAAATCATCTAATTTTCTTTCCGTTAATGTATATGTTACTCTAAAATTATTTCTTGTAAAAATATATAATTTTATGTATTTATATAATAAACACGTGTGTAATTTTACGTTAATAATATATTATTAATATAATCATATTTAATATAATTACAAATATATGTAATTACAACGAAAGAAAACATTTCTGTTACTAATAAACATGTATATAATATCAATTCTTATTTTAATTATTGAAATTTATACGTTTCTTTTTCTTAGATCATGGCTTATGCAATTGTTAATTTTATTGATGATCTTATATCAGAGATTCCAACAAATCGGTTACATAAAGATGGAGATAATTATACATGTTGGTGGCCACCATCAAATACAAAAAATACAAAATTACTTATATTAAAACGTGCTAAATCTGATATAACAACTTGGATGCTACTTTTAGTAAACGTAGAAAAATTTAGTGGTAAAAATATTTACGTATAAAAATATTTTTTTAAATATAATATACTTATATATAATATTTGATTTTTTCTCATCTTTTTAGAAACGTATGAAAAAGCACGTAAAATAGCAGAGGATATAAATTATACTTCCGCAGAAGATTCCAATTTGGGGAAAGGTCGGAAGAAAATTCTTGCAAACCGTTATGTCAATACTGTTGATATAAATCTTGACAATACTGATTTATCATCGTCAGATGAATTAAATAAGGATAATAATAATGCTAAGAATACGAGAACAATTAACTCCGATTATACACCAAAACAATACTGCAATAAGTCTAGAAAAAATTTACATGTGAAGCCTATTGCTACTAATAAAAAATTTAATGATAATGCAGTAATTAAAAGCAAATTACCAAAATGGCCATCTTCTATAAATGATTCTAGAAATGAAAAAAATTTCTGTATAAATAAAATAATTGATTTTCAAAGTGAGTATTACATGCATATAATAATAAACAAAGACACATATATATATATATATATATATATATATATATTTATATGTATAATAAAAATCTATGTAAAATAAATTTAATTTTTTAGCGCTTAGTGATAAAGCTAACATTGATGAGCAGGATGATAATACATCTCGATATCAATCCAATACATCTCAGCATCAATCCATTACATCAGCAAATCTGTCTGAACACAATAAATCATTTTATAACAACAATAATAATGAAAAATTGATAAAATCTGTTCGAGATATTAAAGGTATATTTATGTAAGGTTGAAAAAAAAAATAATTAAATATAGAAAAAAATATAAAAAAACTTAAATATATAAATTAAATTACAACATATTCTTTATAGCAAATACAGACACAATAATAAGAATGTGTGCATCATTTGAATTGCAAATAAGAGATATAATGCAACATATTAATAAACTTACACCAAACATGCAATTCAATGTTTCAACAGAACGTATAACATGTTGCCATTAAAATCCATCTTATAAATCAAAACAATAGAAGCTTTACTACGACAAGAAGCTTTTGTAAAAAAATATGTAAGTTAAGAAATTTAAAATGCATATTCTATAATATTTCAATCTTTTGTTTATTAATTTTAGAAAACATTTATTCTAAAACACGATATTGTAATTGTATAAGTTACTAGCTATACTAGGATCTCGCGGTGCGGGAGAAAGGATTACGAAAGAATTACTCCGAATAGCAACTCTTTATTCGATTCTTCTCTTATAATTTGAGCACGTGTCTGAGACCCCGATTGGTTTTCTCCCTCTCCTTATATACACTGCGAGATATCTCGCAGTCTTCTTAATCACCCTATCAGAGCTTTCCACGGCGTCGAAGATTTAGCGCGCATGATCGATATCAGTTGCCGACCTATCATAAGTCTACACGTCATACCTCGCTGGATACGTCACGCATTATCGGAGCTCTCGCAAGAGCTAGTGGTTCTCATCATACAACTGTCAGTGGCACTCCTCTAATTATAAGTGGTCGATTACAATATACACCTCCTTCTTCTCGGCCACAGAGCCAAACGCGATGTTATTGCAAAATTAAGGAATCTGAGAATCTGTATCCTATGTTTGGGATTTCGAGAATTCGTCTTGTACCTCTTTTACTTTCCCTGTAAAGAAATAGGCGAGAAAAATATTGGTCCGAAAGTTGGCTAAATCGGGAATCAAACTCGAGACCTTCCGTTTGCCGGGCGAATGCTCTTCCAACTGAGCTATTCAGACGCTTATGAAACAATACTTAAAAGCATTGAGAAAAGTATTGTTTCGTAAGTGTCTGAATAGCTCAGTTGGAAGAGCATTTGCCCGGCAAGCGGAAGGTCTCGAGTTTGATTCCCGATTTAGCCAACTTTCGGACCAATATTTTTCTCGCCTATTTCTTTACAGGGGAAGTAAAAGAGGCACAAGAAGAATTCTTGAGATCCCAAACATAGGATACAGATTCTCAGATTCCTTAATTTCGCAATAACATCGCGTTTGGCTCTGTGGCCGAGAAGAAGGAAGTGTATATCGTGTTTTAAATTAAAAGAGCCGACCAAAAATTCTTATTTATTTATTTTAAAAATTGGTGGTTATTCATCAAAAGAAATGATACGGAACGTAGTGTCACGTATATTTTCAAATGAATTTTCGATTCAGTGTTCATGGAAAAGACGTCGACAAAATTTCGGCGTGGCAAAACTGACTCTTATCAGTATTATAAAAGGTAGTATTTATTATATTACACGCGTATAATTACATTTATCATATATACATATGTACGTACAATTAAATAT